AATCTACCAATCATGATACAACCACACAATCAATCATTCCACTTACTGAAACAAAGCCAGCACCCCACACCCCCCCCACCAAGATTTATAGAAAGACGGCAGCTCTGACCACGCTTTAAGCCCAAAACCCAGCCTGAAGATGGTGAAGATGGTGACCTCGCCAAAACGTTGCCAAGACGATCTCAATCTTACACGGGAAAAGACCCGAATACAACAAGACCAGCATATATATACATACATACACACTGTATATACTGTATATATAACCAGCATACTGTGTGTGTGTATGTATGTATGTGTATGTGTGTGTATGTGTATTTGTGTGTATGTATGTATGCATGTATATACATACATAAATACATACATACTGTATATATATACTGTGTATTTATGTGTGTGTGTATGTATGTATGTATACATACATACATATATATGATCATTATAATATCTGTTGATTTACTTTTTATCCATTTTTGAACAACCAAATTATCAGAAACATATATGGTACTCTAGATATGGTTATATCTGCTTTTCTTTATCTGTGAAGGGAAGACTCAAAATGACAGACAATATAGACTGGATGTTGATTAAACCAAAATTTTTCATATTGGATTTTCTTTTTAAGTAAATCATAAGTGAAATATATTTCTCCAAATATGTGTAAGTATGTGTTGGTTTGTTGGTTTATTTATTTTAGTTGATGATGGGACTGATATTGATTCGGCAATTCTTGCCACTATAAGAAAGCTTGGAGATGGATATTTTGGAGGAGCAAGGTGAGCATTATGTGCATTACAAATAGCTGAGACAGTTCCTTTTTCCTATTTTTGATTATTGGGTAAAACTGTTCTGCCTAATGTTTTTTTCTGATTGGATGTTACTGTACAATTTCTATAAATGTTGGATTGTTTGTATTTACATTTGCTACTTCAGTATATAGTATATTTTAAAATAATTTTTTAAATTTCAGAAATTCAGTATAAAAGAGGTTAATGAATAAATTAGGCTGCAGGTCTGATATGAAGTTTGGAAGTATAATGCAAGGACACAAGTTAGATAAAGTGCAAAAAGAAGATGTGATGATGATGGGCATCTTTATTTTCCTGAGCATCTGGCTATGGAACAGTATATCTTAATGACTGTTTATCTATTATAATATTATGTGATTATGGTACTTGTGAAAAACCCATTTATTTATCAGTTGTTGAACAGTGTGGTACTTAGGAATCTCTTTTCAACAGTATGGATATATGAATATGTGTGTGTACCTCAGTGGTGGGTTGCAGGCTGTATGCCCCGGTACAGGTGTACTGGAGCCTGCCCGGAGCACCGGATACCATTCGGTACGGTGTTCCGGAGGGCCCACCCACCCGCCCGAGCTCCTTATCTGTCTTTTAAGTCTTCGACACTTCCACGCAACCGCACGGCATGTACAGCGCCTGCGTGATGCTCCGCTGAGCAGCTGGAGCATCGCAGAGGCGCTAAGATGAATGCTCGTGCTGCGAGAGTCCACGTGGAATCTGGAACCCACCACTGATGTACCTGCATGTGCCTGTGTGTTTGTGTGCAGCGGTGTGTGTGTGTGTGTGTGTGTGTGTGTGTGTGTGTGTGTGTATAACAAACATGTATTCTTCCTCTTCAATTCCTTTTCCAGAGTGAAGTTGGGCAAACTTTCGGACTTTCTGACCACTTCATTCTATACAAACCTAAGCTTCTTGGATCCTGATTGTGACAGCAAGCTGTTTGATGATGAGAATGAAAGCTACTCTAGTACTGAAAGTGGCTATGAACTAGAAGATTATGCAGACTTCTGTGATAAGGGTAATCATATATTTTCATTTTATTTGAGTAGTATATCAATGTATAGAAATTTCAAATAGTAACCAAGAGTAATTTTGGTCACATTTGATGAACACCCTTTTTGGATATGTAGTCACAATAATCATGCCTTAGTGAATATTGTAACATTCCCTAAATTAAGATTATGTGGATGAGTGTTCAGGAGCTATAGTAAGTACAAAATACATACACTGGATTGTTTTCTGATATGAGTTTGTTGACTATATTGTGTTAATAAACTCAATTTATTTCTGACTATAATTCGAGAGTTGTTCCTAATTTATAAATCCTCAGATGGTTTGGAGACAGATAATATCCCTAATCCACTCTCCCCCAAATCTCTCAAATGAATTCTGTAACCAAGATCTACTTGAAAGTATCAAGAAAGGTTTTATTAGTGGAAAGATGGAAAAAGCTATCTTTAGAATATCAGTGGAAAAATCTTTCTGAAGAAATAATAGAGGTTCTTTCATTTAATTTTAAAAGAGGAGTTAAAACAGTGTATATGAATTATGCTATAATTACCTCAATTCTTTGTTATTAAAAAAAAATCTGTTTAATTTCTTTCAAGCTTTGTTAAAAATTTAAATTAAGTCCATGCCAAGCCAAAAAGCAACTTGGAAATAATTTGATAGGTAATATTAATAAAAAAGGAAAAACTAAAAAAACTACAGTATATCAGAAAATACATTTCGACATGTATGCTTGTGTGGTTTGTTCAAAGTTGTTTTAACTTGAGAGGGACTAGTTGTCTGGACATTCGAAAAGGGAATTTAGGACTTAATGGATAGCAGAATAGTTGAAGAGGCTTTCTATGAAAAACTGAGGCTGGAAGAGTTAGAAAAATATAAAAATCTTAAAATATTGAGAGTATACACAATCACTAATTTTAACATCTTATGTGCTTATTCATAGAGTCTGAAGATTTATTTATTTATTAAATTTATATGCCATCAATCTCCTCGATAAGGTGACTCAAATCAGAATGCTACATAGAACAAAAGTTCTTGCCTTCCTCAAAGCATATACAAGTAGTCCTTGAGTTACAACAGTTCATTTAGTGACTGCTTGACGTTACAACAGCACTGAAAAAGTGACTTATGACCATTTTTCACACTTATGACTGTTGCAACATCCCTGTGACCATGTGATCAAAATTTGGGCACTTGGCAATTAACTCAAATTTACGATGATTTTAGTGTCCCTACAACCATCATAATGAATCATGCTGATTACCTTTTGCGACCTTTTGACAAGCAAAGTATGGGGGTCAGATTCATTTAACAACTGTGTTACTAACTTAACAACTGCCATGATTCATTTGTGACACTTAACAAATGTCTCGCTTAGCAATAGAAAGTTTGGGCTCAATTTTGATTGTAAGTCAAAGACTATGACAAAATATAAGGTTAATTGGACAGAGGCATAAGTGCTTTACTTCAAACAGCTTTTCTTTGAATGTTTCTTGACAGAAAGCCAGGATGAACTGGACCAGTACATAAACAGCATGTTACAGAGTACTGCTCTGAAATCATACTTGCCTCCACTCAGAAAAGACACAGGCTCATCCTACGTGTTCAGTGCTGCTCATTCTACTAGAGACATACTATCAATCATGGCCAAGGCTAAGGGACTGGAAGTTCCAAGTAAGTTTTTATAACACTTTAAAACTATACTATTTAACAGATGGAATGCCTGTAAATGCTGACATCTTGCTACTGCAAAAATCTGTCATCTCACATGAAATATTTTAGTAAGATTACAGCACATTTTACAAAAAAACCTGAGGCTTTATTTTCAGGTATCTGTAGAAATAGTTAATAGAACAGACACTATCATGATACATTCCTATCAGGAAATTTGCCCAGGTGGTCACAAATTGTTAGAAAAAAGTATCACTGTTAGGTACAAACAGAAATAAGAATCCAACATTTGGTTGGAGGTCTTGATTAGGATAATCTGAAAAGATGAGCAAATTAAGGGTCTAGAAAGTAAAAAGGAAGTATTTAAGCTCCAAGCGTTTGTAGACAACCTGGTGTTTATTATGGAAAAACCATAACAGTCTGGTGTGAGGCTAATGGAAGTACTGGGAGAATATGGGGAAGCAGTCGGTTTGAGGGTAAATAAAGAAAAAACTAAGATGTTAGTGAAAAATATGACAAATGGGCAGAAAAATGAATTGGTTGAAAGAATAAACATTCAAAAAGCAAAGAAAGTGAGATATTTAGGAATACAATTAACGGTGAGATGCGTAACACTCAAAGCAGATAATTACAATAAACTATTTGACCAAATTAAGGTGGATTTAGAACGGTGGAAAAATTTATAGCTCTCCTTCATAATATTTCATAAATTTAAACAAAATGGGATCTAAATTTATTTGGCAAGGAAAGAGGCCCAGAATCCTTTTGCAGGATTCCAAAGAAAGAGGAGGATTCAGACTGCCCAACTGGGAAAAATACTATCAAGCGGCAGCACTAACATGGAAAAAAGATTGGATAGGACTTAAAAATAGAAAACTATTGGTGTTGGAAGGTCATGGTATGCAAATGGGGTGGTATGCCTTCCTATGGGATGGAAAACATAAAGATCACCAGTACTTCCAGAGGCACCATATAAGTTAAGCTCTACTTGATATGTAGTTAAGTATTAAACAACAAAACTACATGGAAGCCCCAACTGGTTATCAACAATGGAGATGTTCATGCATCCGAATTTTATTAATTTAGGGAAAGTAATTACTTATAAGGAGATACTAAACGAAAGAGGTGAGCTAAAATCTAAAAGAGAATTATATGAGGAAGGAATAGAACTGGAATGGTGGACTTACAAGTCCAATCTCAATACTTAAAATACAAAAAGAATGGAGTATTAAGAAAGAACCCACAGAATTAGATAAAATTTTACTAGATGAAGAGGAGAAAATGATTAAAAAATTATATCAACATCCATTGGATTCTACAATGGCAGAAGAACAGGTAAAGGAAACTATGTTACATGGAGTAGGAACTTTGGTTACAGCATAGCTTTGGACAATTGGCAAGACTTAAGGGAAAGAAACAGAAAGTTAACTTTAGCCACCTCGTATAAGGAAAACTTACACAAGATGTTCTATTGGTGGCACATCCCACCCACAAGTTTAGCAAAAAATTTAAAAAAACTTATCGCTACAATGTTGGAAATGTAATGCTGCACTAGGGAACTTCTACCATATGTGGTGGGAGTGCACGAAAGCTAGGGCTTTTTGGCACTAGATAAGAAAATATTTGGAAGAGATGCTAATTCAAAAAATGGAGTTGAGGCCAGAATTATTTCTACTAGGGATCACAAAAGAAAAACATGGCAAAGGTGGGGTATACTTACTGCTGCATATTTTAACAGCAGCAAGATTGGTTTTTGCACAAAAATGGAAAAATAAAGAGACTCCCTCGGAACAAGAAATAATAAAATAAGATACTGATTTGCG